TAAAAAGGTAAGCATGGTGGATTCTTTGTTCTGTCTTTGTCTTTTCAGAATGACATCATTATCTTGAACAGCAGCTTGCTGACAAAAAATGCCATGCTATGTCATGCACAACCTAAACGACAGCTGCTCGAACCCACATCGGTCAAGTCTGTCCGTTTTCACATGCAGATGAATTTAAGACCGTTATTTATTTCTCTATCGCTCTGCAATATGCTGATGCTTAGCCACTGGCAGAGAGGAAGATAAACGCATACCGAGATTAAAAAGATTTAAAAAGTCCCCAGCAAGGCGCAAGCTTCCAATGTGCAGTGGAGAATTAGCAGTTCTAAAGAGCAGGGGTTCTAAAACAAATGCAATGAAAGATGTTCTGTTGATGTCACAGGGAAACCTTCCCCCAGATTACCACATCAGTCTGATTGACATTGGTCTGATTCTGGAGTACCTCATGGGTGGGGCCTACCGCTGCCATTACACCAGGAAGAGCTTCCGCACACTGTACAACAACCTGTTCGGCCCAAAGAGGGTAAGAGATGCAGGGACGGTGAGGTCTGCAATCCAGAAGCTCAAGGCTCTTGTAGGCACTTTCATTTTTTTAGTCATCTCACCATTTCTGCTTTATTTTATTCTTGCCTCGCTTTGTCTCGCTTTGTCTCGCTTTGTCTCGCTTTGTGCAAGATGTTGCACAATTGATCTGGTTTACTTACTTCATTACTTACTAATGAAAAAACACATTGTTTGTAATACGTTGGTACACCGGACCACTCTGTGTGCTATATAAAACTGGCCCAAGTGTCATACAACAGAAAAGGGTTGCTTAAAGTCATTTTGAGTAGATTAATGAAAACCCTACTTTGTACCCTACTAGAGCTTTTTTCTAACCCAAGGGAAATGTAAAATTGTTTGAATGAGTTGTCCCCTTTACATTACTGATTTTCCCCTTTTTCATTTTCTCATTGTAGCTAAAAGCTCTTAAACTACTAGGAATGGAGGTAAGAACTGGCTATATTTGTAAGATATTTTTGCATCAAAACAAAGTCAGGTACTGTGGTATAAAATCCTGTTTGTCTTTCTAAGGAGGCCCAAACAGCAGTGTTTTCCCTGTTATCAGCAAAGTACTACAGCTTGATTAGACTGTGGCTCTAACTGCTGTGCGATGGGAGAGCTCGTTGCAAGATCACTCCCCTCATAGATAATTTTTTCAGTCTTTTCGGTGTTAATAATAATACCTTACACTTATAATAATAATAATTATTATTATAATAATAATTTCTTACACTTATATAGCGCTTTTCTGGACACTCCACTCAAAACGCTTTATAGGTAATGGGAACTCCCCTCCACCACCACCAGTGTGCAGGCCCACCTGGATGATGCGATGGCAGCCATAGTGCTCCAGAACGCTCACCACACATCAGTGGGGAGGAGAGCAGAGTAATGAACCCAATTCATAGATGGGGATTATTAGGAGGCCTAATAATAGGGGAGTAACATCCCTACTCTTTTCAAGAAACACCCTGGGATTTTTAATGACCACAAAGAGTCAGGACCTTGGTTTTACGTCTCATCCAAAGGACGGCGCCTGTTTACAGTATAGTGTCACTATACTGGGGCATTAGGACCCACGTAGAATGCAAGGTGAGCGCCCCCTGCTGGCCCCACTAACACTCTTCCAGCAGCAACCTTAGTATTTCCAAGGAGGTCTTATATCCAGGTACTGACCAGGCTCACACCTGCTGGGCTTCAGTGGGCTGCCAGTTGTGATTTGCAGAGTGATATGGCTGCTGGCCATATCATAGAGCGCTTTTCTGGATACTCCACTCAAAAAGCGCCTTACAGCTAATGGGGACTCCCTTCCACCACCACCAGTGTGCAGCCCCACCCGGATGATGCAGCACTAGCCAAAGTCAGGATTATTAGGAGGCCAAATTTCTCCAGGACATCGGGGTAACGCCCCTACTCTTTTCGAGAAACACTTTGGGCTTTTTAATAACCATGGAGATGGTTTTGCGTTTTACATCTCATCCAAAGCACGGAGCCTTTTTAAGAATATAGTGTCCCCATCACTATAGTGGGGCATTAGGACCCACACAGACCACAGTGTGAGCGCCCCCTGCTGGCCCCACTAACACCTCTTCCAGCAGCAGCCTTACTGTAGCTTTCCCAGGAGGTCTCCCATCCAGGTACTGGCCAGGCTCACACCTGCTGAGCTTCAGTGGGGCTGCCAGCTGGGGGTTGCAGGATGATTTGTTTTGTACCCAATGAACAAAGACCTGTGCCAGATTTTCACGAACCGTTCTGTGTCTTGTGGACTCCACAAGGACGACGAGCCGCCTTCCAAGGGCAAGAAAAACAAAAAGAAGAAAAAGAAGGAGGAAGAGGTGGACATTGACGTGGATGACCCGGAGGTCAGCCGCTTCCAGTACCCATTCCACGAGCTCATGGTCTGGGCTGTGCTGATGAAGCGCCAGAAGATGGCGCTCTTCCTGTGGCAGCGGGGTGAGGAGGCCATGGCCAAGGCTCTGGTGGCTTGTAAACTGTACAAGTCCATGGCCCACGAGTCCTCAGAGAGCGAGATGGTGGACGACATCTCTCAAGATTTGGACAACCACTCCAAGTACGTCTGTGTGTACCGTACCTTAGGATATCTTCTTGAATTCAATCTATCAGCCCGTTCGGGTAGAAGCAAGATCCTTAAAATTCATGTTCAAGAAAGGTGTGTTGCAAAATGAGGAATGTGAAGTGCACTTAACTGGATTCTCTGGTTTGCGATGCCAGGGCCTTTTGGAGAAGCCTATTTATTTGTTTAACCTGGGTGTGAACGTGTGCCAACATTAAGCATTTTCATGCTTTCATGACAATAATTAATTCTTCGTTACTTGCTTTTATAACACACTTCATCCCAAAAGATCCCACATCAATTTACAGATAGAAGGGGATCCACTTCATCCACCACTGGAGCCCTTGTCCTCCAGCAGCCTTGCTGCATGGCAGATCGGGCGGAGGAGTGAGAGGTGCTACACCAAATGAATGAACTTGGAAATGTAGGGGGGCTAAGCTGATTAAGCGCACAGTGAACTTAGCCAGGACACCTGAGTTAACACTCCTACTCTTTTAAAAATGTAATCTTTAAGGACCAACTAGTCAAGACTTACAGCAAAAACGTAGTCTTCCTTAGTGGTCTCCCAACCTGGGGCTTGCTCGTCTTCTTATATCTGATTAGTTCAGGCTACGAGGTGTTATTGCTGTTGAGTTGTTCTTGTTGCGCAATGTTCCAGTGGAACCTTCACCAGAGTTTTCATACAGTTCAGCGGCACTTCTGAGCTTATTGCTGGAAAGTCACCCCTGGGTCGAGACACTGAGAGTTTCTCTCTCGCAGGGAGTTTGGTCAGCTGGCCTACGAGCTGTTGGACCAATCTTACAAGCATGATGAGCAGGTGGCCATGAAGCTGCTGACCTATGAGCTGAAGAACTGGAGTAACTCCACGTGCCTGAAGCTGGCTGTGGCAGCCAAGCACCGCGACTTCATTGCACACACCTGCAGCCAGATGCTGCTCACGGACATGTGGATGGGCTGCCTGAGGATGCGCAAGAACCCTGGCCTTAAGGTAGAGTGTCCAGGCCTCGCAGGCAGGTGTCCCCTTACGAGCCTTCACTAGGCTGAATGGATCGTGGTATTTGAGCATATTTACCATGGTTTTTCTGTGCTGCTTACGTGACTTTCTGTGGGTTTAACATGCCCTCTCTGTTCATTACTACTCCGGAGTCACGAGAAAACCAAGGTGTCCCAAAGTTAGCGCCCAGGTACAGGGATGGGGAATAAAACCAGGATTACGAGGCCAGGCGCTCTGAGCCCTGGACCCAGACGGTCAGGATGCCGTGTTGAAGCCTGTGCCTTCGGGTCTCTCCTGGACCCACTGGTAGGCGGGCTTCTGGGTGTCCATCTCCCAGTGCTGAGCCCAGAATAATGAGAGCACCAGGCTTAAACAACAAGGTGCAGGTTTGCATGTAATCAGCAAAATGTGAAAGAGCCGGAGTATCCTTAGCAGGAGGGATTACGATCATGACAGTTCCTGGTTCTTTCCATTATTTCACATTTTGCTGTTCACTGATGAAGCACTTCTTTCTCTGTCATAATGTTCATAAACACAGAAGAGGGCAAACCTTCATATTTCAACAATGTAACAACTAAATTGGTTTCCTCAAACCACTGGAGTAAACTGCATAAATGTACTGCAAACCTCACAGCAGATTGCACTCTGAGTTTGAAAGCATCAGAGAAGGTATTTTTAGATTACTTTCAACTTGACACAAATGGAAATACTGTAAATTTAACTGACTTCAGTGTTACTACATGCTTATATATTAATCTCAGCAAATGTGCTTTTTTCCCCTTATTTGCAGGTTATTTCGGGAATCATTTTCCCTCCCACCATTTTGTTCCTGGAGTTTCGCATGAATGAGGACCTGTCCTGTCAGACGTCAGGGGACAATGAGGATGGGAAGGACAAGGAAGAGGAAAACACGGTTAACAAGGTAGAGGCAATCTTCTACACAGCTTACTATCAAAAAGTCTGCTGTTCTTGCACCAGAATTTCAATAACAACACAAATCCATGAGCAGAACCCTACCTTGCCGTTCCATCAGCTCAGAACAGCTTCCACAGAAGTTCAGTTTTAGGCAATAACATGTGGCACAGGATGATTTTGTTTGGCCTTTTCACGATTTCCAAGACTTCTTTCAATGCTCAGTGAGACACTTGAAGCAGGGCTAATTGAAGCAGGCAGATCCTTTAAGATAGAATTTCTTGTTCACTAAGCTACTAGCAGTCACGCAAGCACGTTGTGCACAGTATTACATGCCGTAGAAATGTTATTTTATACCAATATCGCAGATAAGGCCATGTACCTTCCATCAAAACTTGCAGAAACTAAGGATGTAAAATTGCAGTGCAAGCTCGCTGCCTGTGCCATTTGGAAGTTAACACTGCCACCCTGTGGATACAGAAAAAAGATGCACAGCTATTTTCTTTTGCAGTGCTTCTGGTATTGACATTTAGAACAATTAAATGAATATCAAAATGTTTAAACCAGTTTTCCACTCCCTTTACGGTGAAATGTACACTAACTTTCAGGAGTGGTGATACTGTAGATGTAAAAAGAGTGGATGCTTCATGTTTCTTCCGAAGTAACAATTCAAGGGCTCAAGCCTTCCATGTGGAAGAAGCTCTTATAGTCATTTGCACCGATGTTTGATTGGATATTCTTGGGACAAATCCTTGTTTGGATGTACTTGCAGGATGGCAATCTTGACTCAGCTTCCAAGAAAGGAGATGAAGAGGATGGGAATAAAAAGCAGAGGAGAGTTCCTATCGGCATGAAGATTTATGAGTTCTACAATGCACCTTTCACCAAGTTTTGGTTCTACACTGTAAGCGTTTGGCACTCTCACAGTGGCTCTGTGACAGAGCTAGAGCATTGTCTCTATCATTTAGATTCTCCACTTGATCAAGCAAATGAATACCCTGTAAGCGACAGAATAGAAAACATACATGCAGATGTAAAAGCGGACAAAGAAACCACACACACAGACTTGTTTTAAGAAGTATATTAGTACCTTCCTTCTGTCACAGATGGGTAGGTTTGAATTAGAAGTTTCTCATTACCAGTATTCTTCACACATTTAATAGTAGACCTCTAATTTAATACATCCTATAATGTTTCTTATAGTCCTGATACTAAGTCATAATTTCCCCTCTGTAGATTTCCTACCTTCTGTATCTGATGCTTTTCAACTACGTCATCCTAGTTAAGATGGAGCGCTGGCCCTCACTGCAGGAATGGATTGTGATCTCCTACATCCTCACCTTGGCTTTAGAGAAAGTTAGAGAGGTAAAGCTCTGTGTCCGAGACCAGTCACGCTCATATTAACTCGCACATAAGGAAGGTGGATCCCTCGTGCTGTGAAACTGACTCTAAAACGTAGGAGCTGCCCCACATTTACGTTTTATAATGTATTTGCTTGCTCTTTGGTTGCTTCAAAATAGAAACCAAATCCCCTGACTGCACATTTTAAAACCGCTAAATAGGTTCCAGTTTGAAGTGATTTATAATCCTCAGAATCTTAATGCAGATTTACACTTACAGTAAAACTGTTGACCGTATCTTCAAGCACAACTGCAAACGGAGGCAAGCAGGCAAGTATAACCAAATAAAATAATCGGAGCATGCCCCTGTGTACTGCAAGGCAGGAACATAATGTTGTTCAGTCTGATTTTGTTCACTCAGCTGATGTATCCAAGGGGAACTTGCTGCTGCCATTAGGAGGGATCATTTTAACAATGTTTACTGTGGGATTACGGGTCTTGTTCCCATGATACGCCCTCGGTGCCGGTCAGGTGTCTGCCTCAGTTTTCCCTCCTTTCCTCAGATCCTGATGTCAGAACCAGGCAAGCTGAAGCAGAAGATCAACGTGTGGCTGCAGGAGTACTGGAACATCACTGACATGGTGGCCATATCAGTGTTTCTGATGGGCCTTCTCCTTCGGCTGCAGAATCAGCCCTACATGGGCTACGGTCGGGTCATCTACTGCGTGGACATCATCTTCTGGTACATTCGCGTGCTCGACATCTTCGGCGTGAACAAGTACCTAGGGCCATACGTTATGATGATTGGGAAAATGGTGAGACTTGCGTGTTGCTTCATACACTAAATCACCTTACAGCCCCATTTCAGTGTGATAAGATGCAAAGAACGGATTATCATGTTCTTGGCGTCCCCTGAGATGTCAGGCATGAAATGGTGCTTTATTCATTTATTAAAAAATATTGTTTATTTTTAATTCTCCATATAATTTAAGAAGAGCCCTCATTTTAAAAAAAATCACATTTACATCAGTGCTTCATGCTTAGATACTAATAAAACTTAGATTCTATGAAGAGATATGGCTTTGGAGTAGCACACAAAAGCTGAGATTAGTAACATAGGAAGTTTGCAGTTTAATCTTATGATCTGATGCATATGGTATGTTTTTTACAAACAGCCTTGTGGAAACACATGTGTAATCCCGCCACACTACTACACAGATTTATACTGGATTAAACTCTTTAAAAAAAGGTTATCAAAGTGCACTGAAAGTTGGATGGCTGTAGGTGTTTTTCAGAGATTTTAGATTGGGGGTATAGAGTATGACATCTGAAAAATTAGTGGTATATAAAAATACACAATAATTATATTTATTGATAAAAAAAACCTTCATGAATATTGGGAGCTTGTTTTTGATTTTGTGTTTTATTGTGATGGGATGACAATACATGCTTCCTTTCCTAGACAGGATGAAACCATTCTGAATTTCATAATGACTGGCTAGAGCTCAGATGTGTAAATTTGGGCAACTCCATTCTGAGTAAATTTTTTAAAGAACAATGCACACAAAGCTGCTTTGTTTTCCTGAAAACTGCCTCTCGTGAGCACTCTATCTGAATTTTACAAGCATTCATCACTTCGGAAATGTACTATCATACTGTACATACTCAGGTGAACAGAGGCCTCTGGGAAGACTGACAAGAGCAGTGTGTCAAGACGTTTCATGCTTGTATTAGCAAGCCAAAGTCTCTCTCTGAGGGGGATAGTCCAACAGAGTTGAATTAATGCATTCGGAAGCAAAAGGCTTCTAGTTACAAAACCACCTCCACAGGTACAATCTTGTTTTCTTACAGATCCAAGGAAACAATTCTTTCATCTCAGCATGGGGGCAAACAATTAACTCCAAATAAATCAACAAATCTTGGCATATTAAATGCCCCCCCCCCGATTTTCAGCTGTTTTCGATAAGGTCTGGTGTGTGCATAGCGAACAGCGTTCTTCACCGTGACACAGGAGCCAGAAACCGCGCGGCGTGCGGTCTCAGTGGCGCCCCCTCCTCAGGGCCAGGCCGCCGGGGAGAGAGCTGACGCCCGGCCCTGTCTTGCAGATGATCGACATGCTGTACTTCGTGGTGATCATGCTGGTGGTGCTGATGAGCTTCGGAGTGGCGCGCCAGGCCATCCTCCACCCCGACGAGGAGCCCACCTGGCGGCTGGCCCGCAACATCTTTTACATGCCCTACTGGATGATCTACGGAGAGGTGTTTGCGGATCAGATAGACCGTAAGACTAGAATTCATAGTAAGACTTTTGTTTCCTGTTTCCAAGGCGGATGATCTGATCCATGTTTGGCACCTTCTCCTTCTCCTTTCCTGTGGGGCTGGGCTTTATGATCCAGTTTCCTCTTTCTCCTCCCTCTTGTTTTGTGGTGTGTTGGAATCACTTGCTTCTCTCCTTTATTGTAGCATCTGCAAACATGTATAATAGATCTCCTCCCCCCTTCTCTGCACAGCTAAAGCATAATTAGTCTCAGAGAGAACTTCACTGCTCTGTGTTAGTGATTCCACACACCTGCAAACCACTCCTTCATTTCCCAAGATTAACACACCTGTTTCTCTCCTCTTGTCCCTGGGGGTGATATTTATTATTTTCTTCTCATGCTCTACAATGATATCTGTAAAATGCTAGTGTGTTTCCTTTGTTTTTTGAATACTGAACCATTTTAAATTCAGAATGTAAGTAGAAATTATGGCTGCCTTTATTTCCGATAAGACTGCCAAGGTGACATTCATGAAAGTGCTTCTTACAAGGGCGCTAAGAGTGTTATGGTGCTCAGCTGAATTGCTTTTTTGACATCTGCTTCTCATTGAAATGTCGACGATCATCTGCCTGCCAGTATTGAGGATGAGGTGGTTTTCTCAGGTTTCCTGACAGGGGGAAGACACGTTGTATACTGTCCAAAGCCTTGTTGTGAGTGAAACTTCAGGGAGCACTGCAGAATGGTCTTTATTCAATGCCTTAATTGGTCACTCAATGAATTAATCAGTTAATTACAATTCACAATTTGTTTTGAGCACCACCTTAAAGCACTTTGGAGTACGTCAGGAAGCAATATATCATATTTAAGGTACAAAAGAATACTTTCAAAATGTGAGCAATGTTTTTTTTTAAACAAATGCATGAAACTGACACACGAAAGGTTTTAATGCACAGTTCAACTATTTCATTTAAAAATATTTAAAACTAGCAATCATGTTCAAAACTGGTGGATTATTTACACGATTTACAGGAGCCCAAGATTTTTCTCATGTTCCTCCCTCAAAACGAATGATTAAATTGAAACCAATTAAGCTTGTCTTCCTCGTGACAGAAAATCAGAATTTTCCATTTGAAGTGCAGCTGCTTTTTAGTGTGTTTTTCTGTGTCTTTTTCATATTCTTGTCTCCCTGCATCACTGGACTTGTAACTAGTCTACGCAATGGAAATTAACCGTAAGTCACATATTCCAAATTCCAGAAGTTGTTTTTTTTCTTGTTTTAAGCTCTTCATCTGGCAATTTCTATCTCTCCTTGTTTCATTTACTTTAAAAGGACAATAATTCTATTGTATTGTATGTAAAACACCTTGAGGCTCTTCCACCACTAAAATGGTGCACTGGCTTGTATCCAGAGAGTTTTTAAACCTCCAACCTTCAGTCATTTTAATCTCAGTAGGGGACTGGAAGCATAATCTTGACAGGTTCATGGAGGATTTGACTGAGTGATTAGGAAGAGAAGACATCTGAGTCTGCTTAGCCAGGGGAAATCAATAATAAAACATTGTCTGAATCAAAGGCATGTTGCTAAATACAGTAATATTTTTTTCAATTTTATGTTAGAAAAAATTCAAAAGCAGTACTACTTATATAGGTGGTTAGATACAGTCTTTAGCAGCACTTTGCTGCAAGCCTTGGCAATATTGTGAATTTTCTAAAGAGAGACTGAAATAATGAATAATCTATAGCATAATTATTTAATTCAGGAGAACTTTGATGATGTGGTTCCCAATGTTGCCCTCTTACCAAGCTAGAGTTCCCATGGTCTGTCTTTCTTTTCTAAGCTCCCTGTGGCGATAACTTGTACGATGAAGATGGGAAGAAGCTGCCTCCCTGTATCCCTGGTGCTTGGCTCACTCCTGCCATCATGGCCTGTTATTTGCTGGTGGCTAACATCCTGCTTGTGAACTTACTCATTGCAGTCTTCAAGTGAGTATGCGCTGTTTTCCTAATAGCACACAATACATTATCATGCTCACGCATGTCACAAAATGTTGCGTAGTTCAGGATTCCTTGAAATAAAGACATGGCACGGTTTCACTAGCACTTTGTACAGTGACCATAATCATGTGGAAACTGCTAGACAGCCTCTCACTGTGCATAACGAGAAAACCCATCATAAAGCTTATTCCTTCTTCTGTTTGGGGACCATTAATGGTCAGTTCCTATCCCAAGGAGTGCACACTAATCTTTAAAATCTGTTGTTGGTCATTGTCATGAAGTCTGTGAGGTATAACCCCTTCTCTACTTGTCCCGTTCCCTGACAGCAACACTTTCTTCGAAGTGAAGTCCATCTCCAACCAGGTGTGGAAGTTCCAGCGTTATCAGCTGATCATGACCTTCCACGACCGTCCTGTCCTCCCTCCCCCGCTCATTATTTTCAGCCACATCTACATCATCCTGAAGCGCCTCTGCTGCCGCTGCAGGAAAAGACACGAGGGGGACCTGGACGAGCGAGACCGAGGCCTGAGTAAGTCCGCTCTTTGGGGTCAAGGAAGCATGTGAAAGACGGAGTTCTCTGAGTGAAGCGGAGACCAGTTATTCCTTGGTACGTCTCAGTGGGATCAGGGTTAAACACTGATTCAAACCTTGTGTGACAGAGCTGATCCTGAGCGAAGAGGAGCTCAAGAAGCTTCACGAGTTTGAAGAGCAGTGTGTGGAGGAATACTTCCAGGAGAAAGAGGATGAGCAGCTGTCATCTAATGATGAGCGCATTAGAGTGACGTCAGAAAGGTTAGCTTCTCTTCTCTTGTTTTTTTTTAGACCAAGCTACTCAGTATCCCTGCTCCTGAGAATGCATCCACTATTAAAATAAAAAAAAACCTTAATAGACAGGTGAAATGGTTCCTTTACGTTTTCTACTTTTTTACAAACCACGGATAAGTGGATTTGTTTTTTATGAGAAATTGCAGATTAATGGTAAACGTGTTTGTTTTTAACATATTTCTTACTGTCAGCCTGGCCAGTACCTGGATGGGAGACCTCCTGGGAAAAACTAAGGTTGCTGCTGGAAGAGGGGTTATTGGGTCCTAAAACCCCATTATAGTGATGGGAACACTACACTAATAAGGCTCCGTCCTTCCGATGAGACATAAAACCAGGGTCCTGACTCTGTGTAGTTATTATAAACCCAGGTAGTTTCTCAAAAAAGGTAGGGGTGTTAACCCTGGTGTTCTGGCCAGATTTGCCACCTGGCCTTTACAAATTGTGGCCTCCTAATAATCCCCATCTTTGAACTGGCTTCATCACTCTGTTCTCCTCCCCACTGAGAGCTGGTGTGTGGGGAGTGTACTGGTGCACTATGGCTGCTGTGGCATCATCCAGGTGGGGCTGCACACTGGTGGTGGAAGAGGGGAGTCCCCATTAGCTGTAAAGCGCTTTTAGTGAAGTGCCCAGAAAAACACTATATAAGTGTAAGGATATTATTATCATATTATTTCATCACTGAAGATACTTATCCCTTACTGCACTCATTGATTGATTGTACCGATCAAGTAGATCATGATATAACTGCTGGAGATCTGTTTTAGGAGTCAGGAAATGAAAGCTCAAGTGTCTCATCATAAAGACTGGCTTTGTTAAAAAAAGGTTTTGAAAAGGATTAATTAATAAAACGGTGCTTCAAATCCACTATATATATATACAGCATATGCACAGATGTATTATGTGTACTGTACCTATAGATCAAAATTTCTGGAGATTTCCAGCTTGTCCTTCTGAACCCTCTGTATTTTTTGGCTTTTCCAGAGTTGAAAACATGTCGATGCGACTGGAGGAAGTCAACGAGAGGGAGCATTTCATGAAGGCCTCCCTGCAGACGGTGGACCTCCGCCTGGCCCAGCTGGAGGAGTTCTCCGGGCGGATGGTGAACGCGCTGGAGAAGCTGGCCGGGGTCGACAAGTCGGAGCTGACCCACGCGCGCTCCCGGGCCTCCTCCGAGTGCGACCCCACCTTCCTCCTCAGGCAGAGCAGCGTCAACAGCTCGGACGGCTACAGCATCTACCGGTACCACCTAGATGGGGACGACCACTCGTGGGACGATGCCGGCTCTTCCCTCTCGCCAGGAGTGCAGAGGAGGCACTGCAAAGCCAAGGAAGAGAAGGAGGCTGGGGAGAGAAAGAAGCAGCTCACTCCTGAATGCCAAGGCGGCTATTTCCATTCCTCCAGTACCAGTGCAGTGACCACAAAGGACTGTGGCCAGGTCACAGATGTTGCCCCGGATCCCAGACACCCGGGTTCCTGTGTGGACATCTTAATTTCTTCAAGTGATCAGAAAACCCAGCTAGAAGCAGACAGTTCTGATCCTCACAGACACACAAGACGTCCAGAACCCACAGCCAACGGCCAGGCTGCTGTCCGCGGAGTGCTGGGAGATAGGGGCTTGACAGTGGAAAGAGCAAAACTGGAGGCTGCCATCTCTTACCCTCTGGAAAGATCCAAAGCCTTGCGGTACTATCCCTCACAAACTTTTAGTACGTCTCCCTCCTCTGCCACGAAGTCCAGAAGTAGTTTCATATTTCCTCCGGCCACGGGTGAAAATGTACCCGGAGACGAAGGGATCTGGGGCCGGGACTGCAGCTCTCTTATGGACCAGGTGACCAAGTCTCCAGCGGGACCGTGGACGGCTTGTTTTGAGCCTCAGGCTCAGCCAGGCCTCCTTGGCCCGTCTCCCTGGCTCTCCATCACGAAGCCGCCGGCTCGCGACAATCGCGGGATCCCCCTTTCGGAAGCCGAGAGGCAGGCTGAGATAAAGCAGCAGGCTGTGGGCACAGAGGAGGAGAACGAGCCCTGCCCAGCGGAGGAGGGCAGAACGGACATGGACCACTTGTTTGTGGCTGAGGACAGGATGTATCCCTCTCTCAGGTCGAAGAGTTTAAATGCCAACCCCAGGAAGATGAAAACCAGGGGAGACAGCGCAGAGAAGCTCCGCGCAGCCAGCAGTGTCAAAGACATCGTGACAGCATGTAGCACCATGGAGGAGGAGGGCAATACCGAGACACCGATGGAGGAAGGATTGAAGAAGTCAGCTGAAACCGATTGTTGATGGTCTCACGTGCTTCAAAAGGGATGTGTGAACACTAGTGTTAAAGCATATTTCATACCTAGTCCATGACGTACAGGGGTGAATCAAAGGCAGTATTTGCCATGCATTCTCCAACCAATTCTGTACAGTACATTGCCAGTGAAAATGAATTAATGCCAAGTGAAGAATGAAGGTGAGAAAAAAGGACCAGGGATTTAGTAGTGTTAATTAATTGTGAGAAACTTATTGTAAGACTGACACTTCAGAAATGGAACAATGTTACGCTCATATATTATTTTTGTTCTTATCAATAGTCATATTTGAATGGTTTTAATATCCATTCTCTTCCAGGACTTAAAAATAAAAGGTTTTCTGGACTCTTAATCAGCGTAATTGGTTTTTAAGGTTGGCTTCCGCAAAACAATAGGAAAAGTAATGACAATCTCTACTCCAGCAGTTCAGAAAAAATTGTGAAGCACACATCTCAAGAAAGGATAAGTGTTACATAGGTAGCTTTAATAAAAATATGATTGTTTTAGAAGTTTTATCTTGTGAATTGCAGTGCTTCTCAGCAACTCAACAACTCAGTGCACCTCAGGGAAGTTGTGGGTAAGAGGAAAGGACACACAAGACTTTTTAAGTATAATGTTGAAGCATATAGTTTCAATACTACTTTCTGTCCCGTAAGGATTACAAAGGACATTTTGGTGGAGTAATGAGCTAACCCGTTTCATATACATACACAAACATCAACCTAATGTACATGCACACAGACATACATCTACATACATATACATACTGTATGCACATATAGATTTACATCCACATACACACATAAATACTCTCTTTTAGGTTGCATTTCAGGTTTCTGAGCGGGTGCAACATTCAATTTACTTAAGCTCACACTTATATTTTGTTTTGTTTGTAATATAGGACACTTTTTAAAAAACACCTTTTAAATGTAATGGAATGCTAACTGGGGAATACAACACAACAAACAATTATTACCCAGGTGTTTTATAAAGAAGTCATTAGAATATGCTTCAGGATAATTGAGAAAGGGCTCTAAACTAATTCTGTGATACATAGACTGTAATATATATCCTATGTTAAGGGTTTTTATGTTTTACACTTTTATTTCTTTTAATGAAAATTAAAAACTTTCCAAATCGATGTGATGATGAGACCATTGAATGAAAAAAATATATTTTTTTACAGCTGCTAAAATGTTTTCGAAAGAGAGCCACAGTTTCAGTTTGAACTATGAGCTGTTAACCATTACAGTATATTCTGTTGCGAGAACTCAAAAACTCTGGTCTACCTGCAGCGCCATCTGCTGGTAGCACTGTACAAATAAAGACCAAAAACAATTCAGTTTCTTAATGCAATCTTTACTTGCACATTGTAGAAAAAAAGTCCACAATAACAAAAAAACAATAGCTCTTTCTCTTCTTCACACAATATCAGTACACATTATGATCAGGTTTATGTGTTAAACACTTTACACAGATTTTGAAGGAGCTCTCTGAGACCTGTGAACTAGCTGTTAAGTGTACTTAATACTTAAGGTTCTGTGAAATTCACCAATGTATTAGGATTATACAACTTGCTGAGCTTTCTGTCCACAAATGTAAGATGGAAATTAAACCATACCAATGACATCTGATGTGAAGAATTACTAATTCACTGGGCGATTGTAAAAATCCCCCAAGAATGTTTGGATTTGTTTCATTCAAATAACTTGATGGTTATTAAATTATTTCATTCAAATAACTTGATGAGAACTATCTTAGTCATTTAGTTCCAATACAGCTGTGAATTATGCTGTGACACAGAAATAGCGGTTGACCAAGTATTTGAGGGGATTTTCTGTAATTCTTGAACTTTTTTCTTTAACTGAATTTAAGGGAGTGCTTTCATTGTTACATTATTACGCATCCAAGAACAGTGCATCTCAATCATGGTCCCAAGTCATTTTAAGTGTTTTTGCAGACATCACAGCTGCGTTCTTACCAAGTGGCTGTTGTGATGCGTCAGGGAAAAGTAACTCAAGCAGTTACAAGGCTTAAACAAAATGTAATTATTTCCATGCGTCCAGAAAAGGACATTCCCATTACTAGGGTATGTGCCAGAGATCCTTTGGGCAGGACAGCACTGTTTAAATGAAACCCCTAAAAGCTAAATCTTTGTAGAGTAAGTATTCATCTCAGAAGACTGTTACTGTACATTTCTACACCAGAAGCAGACTATGTTTTAGTGGGATGTGTAAGAACCAGCAGGCATTCTGGATCGAGGTCAAGTTTCAACACAATAAGCAATCCTAGTACAGAGTAAGAAATCCTATCGCTCATACACCTCACACTTCACATAGTAAAATACATCCTTCCATGGGAATTCTGGATCCTCCCATTACAAGCCATGCTATCTGAATGAAACGGACAAAGGCAGCCTTGTAGACACATCAGTCAGTCTTTCGTCTTCGCTTGTGTTAGAAAGACACACCCTTTCATCAAGAACTAATGTGCTGAAGGTAAAGTGCAGCTCCGGAGACACATAATACTGCTGCAAACATTCCTTTCTTTGTAAACAGTACAGGGCAATCATAACACATTTAAATCCTTCAAAGATACACAGAGCAGAATTGGTTATAAAAACAAAATACAATAACATGAATAATTAACAGCAATGCATTATTATTTCATTTTTATTAGCATAAAAGTGGTTTTCCTATGGCGTTACAAATATATATATTCCACAGAACACTGAATTCGCTCCATCACACATAAAAACACTTTGGGCGTGATGGGGACAACTTCAGTGTTTCGTAGTGCACATACAAATGTAATAATAACATAATTAACTCTAAGAAATAAGTATTAATGTATAGGTCGCAGCAGAGAGTTTGACTTGCTGCTGCTTCAAAAAGCACTTGTATGAATATCTGCTTCCACTTCTGTCTCGTCTCAGACCAAGCTAATTAGACACAAGCACACAAGAGCGCATAGACATTCTCATGGCACAGCAATGACAGTGAATAGTTCTCTACATGGCGGACTCAAACTAAACTAAAATGGCATCAGGGCCTGGGTGACTAAAAAGCAATAAGAATCCTTTTTTATTTTTTAAAAAGAGCCACATGAACTTAGGAAATACGTGGTTTTGCGGGGGTAAACTTCCCAGCTCCTAGCCAATCATTTGGTTTTTTTTTTTGGTCTGCGTTGAGCATACTGTACAACCACATTTTCATCTAATTGTCTCAAACACTGATGAGAATGCCAAATTAAGGGAAAAAGCCCTTGAACCACAGTACAGTCTTTTTAATTTCAGATTAGTATTTCATTGCAGATTAGTAGCTATGATGCAACACACTGTCAAAATGTCCCTAAGAACAATAAACTGTATTAACTGTTAGGCTTCACACAATTTTCAGCAAATGCTAACCATTTTCACAAATGGTGTTTTTGCTTACATACCGAATGCAAAGAGCCATTTCTTTGCCATCTCATCTGGTATTAATTCTCAAACATAGAACTTTCTTCTAAGCTTAACTAGTGACTTACAGTACATGCAGCACATGTAGAGGATGGTGTCTGTCACAGATTATGCTTCTGACAGTAATATACACAGACACAGATCAGGTTTCTGCACTTTTTTCTTGCTTTACTAAACCATAGCCCTAGTTTAGTACAAGGAACAGTCACATACCAAAAGGTTTCATATAAATGCAGTAAAATGTGCTGTATGTTTTGAACATAACATAAAATCAAAGTCTCTCTAATTTCACTCTATATACAGCAGGTTCCTTCAAATTAGGTATTACCTATAATAATCTATCAGTTTGCCATCTGTATTTGCCCAATCATGCCACATTGGAATTAAAGAAGTAATAATGTTTTAATGTTTCTTTATTAGCCCTGTACAATTTCTTGCATTAGGAATTCGTCTTTTCGCATACCCCAGCTTGCTCTCCATGAGACACAGGCACACAGACAGGGAGAGAAGCTGGGGGTCAGAGCGCAGAGTCAGCCATTGTACAGCGCCCCTGGAGCAGCTGGGGTTAAGGGCCTTGCTCAGGGGCCCAACGGAGTAGGATTCCTCTGCGGGCCGCGGGATTTGAACCGGCAACCTTCCAGCCACAGGCGCAGATCCTGAGCCACAGAGCCACCACTCTGCCCTTTTTTTTTTTAATAGGGCTATACTAAACAAATAAAGAACATAATGTTTTAAAATTGGGAAGTTCCTCTAATTCTACCTTGTGTTTGCGTCTTTGGTAAAACAACAATACTGAAGACAGAATGCCCTGATGCAGACATACTGTACAATCAGATCAGTTTTCTGTGAATATCTGATGTGGCGGCATAAATAGGAGCTATCAGCAGTATTCTTTCCTAGAAATTAAAATGCAGACAAAAACATACAAATACACATAACACAGCTCACAAGCATACCAACAAAATGACAAGGTATTTTTCTGAAAGCATAGACAGTAAATAACTCAGCCTTAGCCAACACAACACGTGCCTTGGTTACGCTAAAACAATGAAAAACAACACTTTCCAAGCATGAGTCTCCACATCGTACTGTAGGTATCCATGGTGTGGGTGGCTACATCTACAGAGTCACACTGTTCACTGCGATTCTGAACCTGTTTCCCCCCCTTTTTGTTTTTACATCTGATCATGAGACGGCGTGGCCTACAGAAATACGCAGCTCTCAGCAGCAGCCAGTAGAATTTCATTCGTAGGCCGAGCGATATTGTGCTTTCAGAAAAGCAGAAAAGGTTGAACTAGTCTATCATGAGGAGTCCATTAGAGCAACGTACATCGAAAGAAGCTGCTCTTCTTTGACCGGTTCTCTGTGATTTTGACAGGGCCACCTCCTCCTGGTGCAGTATTGTCATTCTGGTGAAAAGAACAAGGGGAAACATGCTCTAGTTCAGACGGGACAAGAAACAGGAATTTAACATCTACAGTAAGTGAAAGAATTTTCTTTTACTTTGTCAAACCACCGATTTCACTTATTTTGTAAGCAAGACACCAGATATGGAATATTCTCCCAAGCCTGTAGCTCAGAAAACATGAATTCCAGAGTGCGTATGAACTTGGTGGTTATGGAATGCTTACCATTTTTCTGTTCAGTCTAGTCATGATGTCTCTAGCAAGCGTGAAAAAGGCCTGCAAATAAAGATAAGCAATGTCAGTGAACTTTTTGACTTTGGATATCTGTCTAATATTTTTTTTATATTTACATATACATGAATAATTGTTTTATACATAAGGGTTTTTCTGCCCTGCTGGCCTACTTTAAAACAGGGTCATATCAGTGTGGCTTGTCTCTTTAAAACATTTCTCAGGTTTTTCACCAAAAAGGTTTCATTACAATTTCAATTAAAAAAATAGAAGTTATTTTTAGCACTTATATTAATTAAGGTAGACTAACAACATACTGTAGTTGTTCCTAGAACTGTATTAGGGTCTCACCTCTTCCACATTTATGCTGGATTTTGCACTAGTTTCCAAAAATTTTATCCCATAGTCTATTGCCAGCTGTAAAAATTGGGGAAAAACAACACACAATTAAAAAAATCATTAATGGATTCAAGTGCATATAAGCAGTATATATAACAGTCACTCATCACTCTGAAAGGAATAAAGCGCACATGCATTTTCATTTACAACATCCATTAAAATAATTTAGCTTCATTATTTTCACAGTACATGTTTTTAGTAATATTTACAAATTAATTTATTAGAGCATTGTAACATATCCCTGAAAACAAAGAAATACTATTGTAAAATGTATCTGGCATATGCATGAATGAATTTCTGTTTTAGTTTATGTGAGATGTTACACCGCAGCGCTCAAAGAAATGCAGAAAAGAAATGGAAAAGACTGTACAGTTTTGGGGAGATCAAAAGCCTTTAGTGTGCTGCCTTACCTTTTCACCCCTCTCTTTGGACACCTGTCTTTTGTCATTCATGTCACACTTGTTGCCCAGAATCATCCTCTCCACATCAGAGGAAGCGTGCTGTGATCAGATTAAAAAGAACCACCCAATGTGATGTGTTTTCATTTCGCTCTGTTCTCTGCTGTTCACTTTCTCGCTGGAATTGACACACTCTTTGCTAGAGGATGTGTCAAGATTGTTACGTGGAAATGCAGTTTTGATTTACACCAGTATGTGGCAGCAACGTGGACATAAAATTAAATAAAATTCATTATGTTCAGCTTTTAATTTAGTTTTACACAAACCTTGCTAGTTGTACCATTTTTAAAGGTTATCCTGAATGCATATAATATAGAACTTCAATACTGCCTTGATAGCTTATTAACCCCTCACCCCATATAAGGTGACACAATAAGTCTGCAACTATTCATAAAATGTGCATATATTCGGATATGCACAGAGTATAAAGGCAGTATAGTGCATTTATGTGCTGATACTTTATTCAGTACCATGATATGCACAAGAATCTTAAAAAGATAGAAGAAATGTTTCAAATAAAAATATATAATTCAGAGGAATTATTCTTCGTTACATGACCAGTTAAGTGACAACTGTTCTGACACTGTTGCAGTTAAGGAAATTGCACACTTTCAAAACTTAATAGTTTAAGTTTTGAAAGGGATTTTGAAATAAAATCCTTCAATATCACTAGTGCTGCTACATACCAATTTGGAGCTAGACCAAACACTGCTTTGTCTTTTACATTAAGGAGCCCCTTGGTCTGCAGAACTTACTGGTGACTATAGGCTTGAAGCGACTCACCTCTTCAATGTTCCGGATCCAGTTTTTTATGTTCTCAAAAGATTTCTCATTTGTGATGTCATATACCAGCATGATGCCCTGCGTATGAAGAGGTGAAAATTGAGAGACCCCAGGATTCTCAAGACCTGTGTACACTAGCAACGAACGTCCAGTATTGTAAATCTTACGGTGAATGTGAAGATCACTGTATGACATAATGAAATGTTCCAATTTTGCCTCACATCTCAAAAATATTTGTTGTGCTAAAAGGGAAAATATTTCTTCTAAGGAAGTGTAATCGAATGTGTATATCCAATGCACTCGTTTACAATGCTCACTAAATAAATTATTGAAAACCAAGCAAAGCTCCAAATACGTTTATCAAAATAGCATCATCCACTAGGCATTGTACTGTTTTTTTCTGAGGCTAATAAGCAAAAGGAAAATCAGTGTCTTTTTTAGAGCAGGAATATGCAAAGAATTATCTGGATGTTTTTAAGGGAGGGATGTGAAACTCCCTTAAGAAGCCAGTTGTGCAGACACGTGTTTCTAAAGTATGATGACTTCATCATGTCCTTTGCTGTTAAACACTGCACTAAACTTTTCTGGTGCCAACAAACAGGGCTTGGCTTAAATGTTCAAGACCTCGGGGATTTCAGACTTCCTTGCCAAGACTATAGCTGAAAATTACTGTCAGACCTGGGGTCTCACCAACACAAAACAAGAGTAAAAAAACTACTAAGCAGCAAGCAGCTTCATTTCATTGTGCAGATTATTAAATCAGCTTTTGGCAATCTAATACTTGAAGGACAATGTCGTGAAATAAATAAAAGGTGTTGCACTTTTGTATGTTCCAAATATATAATGAAAGTCTCACCATGGCTCCTCTGTAGTATGCTGTTGTGATTGTTCTGAACCGTTCCTGTCCAGCTGTATCCCTGGAACAGACACATACACCAAGACAGAAAATTAAAATAAATTCATTTCTGTTTTCTTATAAGTACAGCACTTATTTTTACTGCTGGGTTTCTAATTTCCAGTGCCCACAGCTGAGACATGAATCCATCAGACGTTTATTCCCATCCTTGTGATAATCTCCTTTAAGATGTTTCAAAGACCATCAGAAACTAAGAGCCCGACTACATTCTTGGTCATTGCACACTGCTCACCACACTACCTTTCTGAATAGCTCGACTTTCCAAAACAAAGCTACACGTTACTGTATGACATGGCTTATCTAAACAATTAAAAAATGGCATACAAATTCCTAGCAATATTCAGAAATGAAGGAAGCAGGTCAGTTTCCTTGCATAAGAAGAGCAGCCTACTTCTAAAGGTGTAGTACTGGGGAGATACATGGACAGTGAGATGTCAATGTCAGTGAGGAAGGTACTTAAACTGTATAAAGAGTACCGCCAACGGAGTCAACTGTTGCTGTTTATGAGAAAGTATGCGTATGGGCCATGTTTTTAATTAAACATACTGCAATATGTTAGTATTTGTACAACCTAAAACTTTTTTACAACACAATTTAGCAATCAACCCTGCCATATGTCATAGTCTGTAACAGAGCCAGTACAAGATATTAAACAAATGTGTCCAAAAGCAACCAACGATCTCTAGAACCACCAAAACAGCACCTAACAGATAGAGCTTTGCTAAATCTAAATATACAGTGTTGAGTCTTTTTGATAAAAGCATTTCAGATCAACACTCAGTAAAGCTGTTGTTGGCACTTTAATTTGATCACCATTAAAGATCAAATGAGAAATGAAAAACTATAACATACTTCTCTGAGTGATAACATTGCATTCATCTGCAAAAAAAAATAGAAATATTACATTTAACTTACCATATCTGAAGCTTTATTTTCTTCCCATCTAATTCTATTGTCCGGATTTTAAAGTCGATTCCTGAGAAGAATGCAAAAACATTTTTTTAATGGTTATCCTTTCATACGGAGAACTACTAGAGATAAGCTATTCTGCTCTCCTAGTATATATAGTATATAAGTCATAACATGTTGGTCTTTGTCAACTCAACCTTAAACTTTACAGCAATTTAAAGAAACTCCACCGAAAAAATGGACAATCTGAAAGGTGACAAAAGTGACAAAAAAGTCAAGTTATTATTTAATGGCATGTAAACAATGTTAAAAATAACATAGATCAGTGATGTCAGCCACTGGGTTGCTAATTGGCTCTTGTGGGTCTTAAGCAGAAATGAAGATTTGTTATTAATACTCATCAGTTAAATAACAACGACCTGAAACTATTTCAGGCAAAGACAGAGCATAACAGACTTCTCAAAAGGTTAGAGAAAAATATATCAGTTTTTCAGTGTTAATGAAATAAAGATAATTAAAACAGACATACAGTAACTCCACAGTACAGTCATTTTAACTCTGAACTGAACAATTATATACTTATGCATCATGATTTGTAATTGGTCTAATTCTACTCAGCTCATAAAGATATACCTCATTCACCTTAGCTACAGTTATAAAATGCAAAGTCTGACTGTCTTACTAAGAATAAACCACAGCCTCTTGTTTAAAAAGCGCGGATCAAACCATTAATTAGCCTACAATAAGATAAGATCCTCCTCAGAAGTTTTCAGAACAATCAGAAACCCATGAAAGCAAACAATTTGTGTTTGATGTGAAATCAAATTGCAGTAAAAAAAAACAGGCTGCTGAACTACATTATGTGCATAGAAAATTAACAAACGCACATAATGTAGTTCAGCAGCTTTTTTTAATAATGGAAATGAGCCAGCTTCTTAAAGCGTTACCACATCCCAGAGAAAAGTGTTTGGTTGCCTATAATAAATGCCGTGATTTACAGGAAACTCCTCAGTCATTCAGAAGCAGGTCTCTCTAAACCCATACACTCAGCTGTAGACATCCAAACCTCATCTTGGCATATGCATACAGGAAAGTGTCAAGGTGATTCCTAAATTCTGAACCTTCATGATCCCCATGCTTTGTAATGTAATCACCACTTAAGAAATGAAAGGGCATTACAGGAAAATTGTACAGGTTTGAATGGTCATAGAAATTTCCTGGTTATACAGAGATAACCTTGAGAATTCATGAATCATTAGAGAATGAATCTGTCAGTTATTTCTATACCAATAATCAGCTTCAATCACAATCAAAACCTAGAGGATCAGCTATTATTGCTTGAAGCCCAGAATGCTAAAGTCAGTCTCAGACTGTGAATTAATAGTGCAGGGCACAAAATACAATGTGTTAAAAAATGTTAGCAGTGGACTTTCTTCCGCAGGGCAAAGAATGTCTGAGCTATGGACTACAGACTAAGGTTGGATCGCAAAACCTCTATCCTGTACTACCGCAAAAGCATTTAAGCTTAAATACATTTTGGAAGTTTGCCACATGTCTTTACTCTGAGTCTCTCCAGCGAAGACAAATTTCTTGGATTATGATTTTGAAATGACCTTTTCAATCCCATTTACCAGAATTGGGATGATGAAGCTGAAGAAGGTGCCGCCATCACTGATTTTCTAAACCTCACTTGTTGCTTTGATTGCCAAAAGAAAACATACAGGCTACAAATATTGAATTTACAATCTTTACAATCATTTTTAAACAGTAAAAATATAAGCTGTTCTTTATAGTTTACCTGGTGGAATAAACAACACTGCACGTTTGATTTCAGTATTGCCTCCTAAAAAGACTATATTGAATTCTCCTCTCACTTCTAGACTTATCACTAAGCACAGAGGAGCTGGAAATTGTGCTGGTCTTCATGAGACCTCCATTCCACTGGTGGTGTTTTATGGTTTAATAATTTACTATATAAACAGCTTATATAACACAAGAACTTCACGAGCAGCTGCTAATTCTTATTATTCACAAAATGATATCCCACTTCTCAGAGATCTGTGCATCTCGTTAATTCCTTATCTCAGACACAGATTTCTCTCAAATAAAAAAAAAAACTTAAGCAGCTCCATAACATAAGCTGATCCTATGCAACCCTTGAGTTACGGACTGGCTCCTGACCTAGATAACAACTGGACAAGAGGGTGCATTCCAATATAAATCCCAGAATCGAATCAGTCAAAACATCAATGAATAAAAGTGTGTGAGATCACCATTGCAGGCTTCTCAGGTTGAGCAGGAATTTCACCTTAACATACAGTATGTGCATGTGTACATTCACACTGAGAAGCATAATTGACAGGCCAGATGTTTGGATACTGTTGAGTGCTTTTTTTAAATCACTCTTTACTTCTAACAAGAGGAGTTAAAATGACTTCCCTTCATGTTCAAACCTGGGTGACAACTCATGTGACACATGGATTCTATAACACATTCAAACTATATCATATCCACAACATAATTCACAAATATTTAGCCTGAATGCCCACTGAGCAGGAAGGCAAACAAAATGGCTAAAGTCTCATAAATTTCACATGAAAGGAAGTGGTGAGCTTCGCAGCAACTATAAACCTTACAACAAAAAGTCCACCACTTCCATTAAGCAGACACTGCAACTTAAAGCACAATACAGGTCTGTGTCTGTTCCCCTACTATCACCTTTGGTATCCTGTATAGTGTTGCAAAGCTACTATTGGTCAGTGGCCAGAGATTCATAGATATAAACTATTTCATGCTTCATTCCAACAGAAAACAAGAGCTGGGGATCCAGTTCTCTGGTGTTTGACTCAAGCGTTTCAAGAGCTGCCTCAGACATGCTGCAACTGAAAATCCAAAGCAGACTTTAATAAGGCTGTCAACTGTGAGCCCGCTTGTATAACCATCATAAAAGATTAATCAAGATTTCATAAGTTCAAAATGCAACATGCTAGCAATCAAATGAGCTTCTCAGTACTTAACCAGTTCATGTCATGGAAATCTCAAGTACACAGATTTGCGGACAGATAAAATGCAAGCGTCAGTATTACTGTGTAAAGACCGTTTTATTGCTTTTTTCTTTATGACAAGCAAAATAAGTTGTCAAACTTGCTAAAATAACCTTGTCAAGTATTTCAATACAGCTGCCTGACTATGGTCAAGAACATTATTCTTCACCCACCAAACAAATAGGTTTGGATAGCATACAGTGTGCTTTAAACGTATAAAGAAACAGAGTACCTATTTTACCCAAGAAAGCAAGAAGAATGCTGCTTGACTGAAAATAGGAGAATAATCCCAAAGGTGGTGAATTAAGATAACTATGATTCAATTTCCCCTCTTCTGAAAGCCTGAGAATTACACAATAAGGGGCATAATTTCATTACGTGTGATTCACATATCAAAAAGGCAGCCGCTCAAGAAGAAAAAGTGATTTATTTCATACTTGCACTTGTAACAACCAGTTCTGTCACAACCGAAGCAAAGGAAATGGAACAAACGAGTGTTTCAGGCAGTTGTGGAAGCCTGCAGTGTGGACAGGATGCAGGACATTGACCTCTCTCTCTCCCACTCTTGTAAGAGGAAGTGAGGTGGCTGCAGTTCCCATAGTAAGTAGCTGATCCCTCCCTGATTATTGAACAGGCTGAAGAATGCAGAACCCTCCCTTATGACACTCAACCAGCTGACTGTCACAAGACCCAGCTGTGGCCTCTAACAGAACAGCCTCTGTTCATTTTGTCACCAGAATGAAATATCAGGGGTTAGACACTTCATATTCTACAGTTCAATATGATAAAAAAAGACCCTTTGGTGATCCAGTCACAACCACAGAGCACAAGACACTTTCTCTAATTCAGCATGGCAGTGTAGGTAGGATCTCTGCAGGTAAAGCCCTTATAACCACAACATCAAGTTCTGTGTGCAGATGTACCCTCTCAAAGTCACAAGCATAACCATCATTTACTCCAGTTCTTACATAGTAACCAGAGTCTTTCATATCCATCAGATCTTGGGTTGTTCAGATATTACAACATTTTGTGTTTGGCCCTTAAAGGGTATAAATACTCTTTTATTTTCCCTTTTATTTCCAATAGTAGAAACAAATGCTTCATTTTCCTCCAAAGTTAGTCCAACAGCACTAAACAATAAAAGTCATCTGAAAGGAACATAATGGAGCAGATCCTCATTATCCAAATACAATCAGCACCCGTGGAAATCAGAAACCTTATTTGTGCACACAATCCCTCCCTTAATCTAGCCTTGAAACGTTTGAAATATATAGTATTACGTAGGTGCTCACGAAACGGGTTTGTGGAGAAAGAAAAAATTCCTAAAATATGAACAAACAAATACGATCAAAACAGGATTCCTGCCTCAGAGCATGAGCAGAACTGGTCACATCTCCTAATGTCCTCTGTGAAGGCATCAACGTAGCCACTACAGAAACAGTATTTCCTGCTCTAGTTCTTGGAATTGCATAAAATATTTAAGATGAAATATTTCTTTTATGGACACTGTTCTGTTACTTTCACTACTGCTCATAAAAGAGGGGAATCGGTATCAAACTGGTAAATAACAACCACAGCTAAAAAACACTTAGGACTGTAAGAATAAAAAGGTTACATAACTCACAACAGACTATAATCTTTTCTAGTTCTTTCGTTAATCGCTTTCTAATCTGATTAGTGTACCTTTTTAAAATGTATTTATACGTTATGTTCATGTGCATTTTGCAACACAAAAAAGAAAGGGCTTTGATTTTAGGCTTTCGAACACGTACACAAGGCAGTTCAGCCGGGTGTTCCTCATTTCAGAGAATCACAATTCTGCATTATGCATAAAGTCTATAAAGGATGAGCCACCTTGGATACTGAAGTGAAACAACAATCTGCTGAAAGTGCTGCTTCATAATATTACACACACTGCTAATTAAAGAAGTGCTGTCACCACGTGGAACAAAATGAGCAAAGTCAAGATAACTCAATACTTCCTGTTTTATAGTCAAGCAGAAGTGCCTGACACAAAGCAGCT